GGATATCCTTATTTAAAAACTAAACAGATTTATACTTCACACCATATATAAAAATTAACTGAAAATGGATCATAGACCTAAGTATAAAACCTACAACAATAAAACTGCTAGAAGAAAACAGGAAATATTCTTTGTGACTTTGGGTTAGGCAAACATTTTTTTTTTTTTAGCTACAACACCGAAAGCACTGTCTCTAAAAGAACGTATTGATAAATTGGGCTTTATTAAAATTACTAGCTTCTGCTCTTTGAAAGATACTCTAAAGTAATGTAAACACAAGTGACAGCCTAAGAGAAAGTATTTGCAAATCATATACAGGAAAAGGACTTGTATCTAGAATATATAAAGAACTCTTACAACTCAATAATAAGAAGGCAACTGTTTTAGTCCGTTTCGTGTTGCTATAACAGAATTACCTGAGACTGGGTAATTTATAAAGAAGAGAGGTTTATTTGGCTTACGATTCTGGGACAGCTACATCTGGCATGGGCTTCAGGCTGCTTCTAGTCATTGTGGAAAGTGGCAGGGAGCAGGCGGGTACAAGCAGATCACATGGCGAGAGGAAGCAAGAGAGAGAGAGAAGGTGCCAGGGTCTTTTTTAAGCAACGAGCTCTTGCGGGAACTAATACAGCGAGAACTCACTCATTAATCCTTCCTCCCCCAGGGAAAGCATTAATCCATTCATGAGGCATCCACCCCCATGACTCAATCAGTTTCCAACACTGCCACATTGGAGATCAAATTTCCACATGAGTTTTGGAGGGGACAACACATCCAAACTCCATCATTCCGCCCCTGGCCCCCCAAAACTCATGTCACTCTCACATACAAATTACAATCGTTCTATCCCAACAGTCCCAAAAGTCTTAGCTTGCTCCAGCACCATCTTAAAAGTCGAAAGTCCAAAATCTCATCTGAGACCAAAAGCAAAAGTCCTTCCAGCTGTGAACCTGAAAAACAAAACCAAATTTATCTACTGCCAAGATACAATGGTGGAACAGACATTGGGTATACATTCCCATTCCAAAAGGGAGGAATAGTCCAGAAAAAAGGAAAAACAGGCCCCAAACAAGTCCGAAACCCAGCAGGGCAGACATTATGTCTTAAACCTCCAAAATAATGTTCTTTGACTCCAAGTCCTGCATCCTGG